CAAAGAATGACTATAAAATAGGAAGTATAAAAAAAAAATCACACTTATACAACTTGATTGCATTAGCAACACTTCGAAACAGAAGCTAAAAACAATTAAGGGAGGATTACGAATTTGAACTGAAAAGCAGGCGAGAGAGACAAAAAGGGTTGGATCAAGAAGAGAACATGACTGGTTCCGGTTGGGGAGGCTGCAATCACGCCCCAACCCGGGGTTGCAAGCAGCGGATTTGCTAGAGCTTTTAAAACTTTTTTTAAATGAACAGAGCTTTGGAACTTTCTAGATAGATTATATGGGAAAACTGTTGTTTGATAAACTCACAACCCTCTTGTGCCGCAGAACTTGTCACCGCCATCAACCTGCTGCCTCGATGCGGTTTTCATTGGATTTACTAAACGGCAAACTGGACTCCCGAGTTGAATTTACTAAAATACCCTGAGGGGAAGTATTTCTTAAAACAAAAACCTGTTTGTCTACAGAGGAGAAATGGAGAAGATGGTGGCATTGCGATCCATGTGCAGAGAAGCAGCTTCTACGATATCCCGGCATCTCACTGCCCAGAAAAGCAGTCCATTCGCCACCATTTTGGTGACTTCTTGAAGCTCCTTTCACCCTCTCTCTCTCTCTCTCTCTTTTCATGCGGCTCCTCCAAACGGCCTTCATCTGGTGCTTTCCCCTTATTTATATACTCTGGATCACCTACTTTCTTGGATATCGTCTGCTTCATTTTTATCAATTCACGTTAGATTTGATAGCAATAGTGGATAATGAATCAAACAGGAAGCTGTTCGGTTATTCGAGAAAATATTAAAAAATAAAAGTCTTTCTTGGATTCGCATTTACTTTTACCTCATTTTTTTCAAAGATGTTGTCACTTCTCTATCGTGTGTAAATTAACATTAACAATAAAATTTTAGTGATGGTTAATTAATATATGATAATATTAATAATTAAATAATAATAATAGAAATGATATATTTTTTTTATATTTAAATGATTGTATATTTATATATATTAATGATATATTTTTATTTAATAAATATGTTTATATTTTTAATCAAATTATTAATTTATTTTTATTTATTATATATAATAAGTAGTAATATATAAGAAGTATTTAATAAAAAAATTTAAATTATTTATTGATATAATTATATTTATATTTAAATAAATAATTATTATAAATTTAATTTTTATATTTAATAAAATAAATAATAAATTGTGAGAGTAAAAATAAAATTAAGTATATTATACGAGGATGTAAAGAAAAAAAAAGTAACATACCAGTCACATACCACCGATTCAGTAATTTTAAAATTCATTACAAATTTGTCAGTCATATACCGTTTCTTACTATTAAAAGTTAAAACAAACATTATTTTTTTTACACTTATGAAATAACATACATTAAAATCCTATCATTTATTACGATCCAAACAATGTGCAAATATCTCTTATTTTCTAATTTTTTTTATAAAGAACAGTACCATGTATATTAATATCAGAAAAACTAAAATTATTACATTTCGAATATGCTAATTAATATTGATTCATCCCAAATATAATGTAAGTTTTGTTATTGTAACGGCCCCGGAATTTAAATGAATATGTATGTATTAAAAATCTTAAATGCGGAAGCGTAATAAAAATTTTGATTAACATTCCTTACACAATAATCAAAAACGTACTTAAAACATGAAAGAATAAGCTAATTAAAAGAGATATTCGAAATAAAAACTATAAATAGAACTATAAAGTCTTTAAGCGTCTAACTCGCCGTCTTCCTGCGGAACGGGCTCGGGAACCACGTCTTCCTGATATGAAATGGTTAAATAAGGAATGAGCTACACTACCATAGTAAAGACATCACACTATCTCACTGCCACAGAAGTAAAAGTTGGTAGAAAACAAAAATGACAAATGGAGCATATTTTATAACAAACTCATTTATTAATGATAAAAACCTTTACTGTCCACTTACATTGGTAAGATTCGTGAAAATATCATATGGAAACAATAACATTATAACCATCATAAAATCATATACATTTTGTAACATAACACATGTTATACTTTTGCACTTCAATAATCAGACAACAAATTATCTCTTTTACCAGCCTACTAGTATTCGTGGGGATCTATAGGAGGTCTTCGCTACACGTGAACCATTAACATTAATAACCTGATTGCAGGGCTGTCCCTATACCCCGTCCGGTATGGGTGCCAAAACCATAAACCTCAATACCCCATCCAGTATGAGGGTGAAATGGGTCGTTCCCATACCCCGTCCGGTATGGGCGCCAACACATATAAGGTCTCCATACCCTGTCCGGTATGAGAGACCACGTTCCCGGTAGGGTTCCCTACGGACCCGGTCCGTCCACCATATCATAGGATATCTAGTCAGGCTATCAACATTATCCATTTATCAATTCACATAACATTTTTTTTCCTTTTTCTTGATCTCAATCATCCAATCATACACAAACATGTAAACCAGTAATTGACACCAAACAAGACAACACAATATCAGGTTAAACATAATACCAACCATAATAAAAGAAACCATGATTTATGCATACGAGACCATAAAATAAATACATCAAATGTCATACTGCATTTAATACTGAAAAATAGATCAAATAACAACTGACCAACAATGTATCAGATTCGGGCTCCATTGGCAACTTCAATTAATTATACATGTCTATAAAGTCACAAAATATCGTTTAATTATTTATTAAGCTTTAGTGTCGTGATAGGAGGTAGGGTGAGAGATCCTTACTTATTTTGGGGTCTGAAATCGGCTTTACGGTGCGCATACGGGCTGTCCCTAAATTCTCTAAATTTTTTCCGGGAAACTGAAACGCACTATCGGTACCTGCACGTGTCCCAAAAAATCTCAAATCAGACCTAGGGCCCCTTTTCGGCCAATATCGAAATTCCGACATGGTGGTGATCCGCCACGGGTCAGCCGTTTTCGGCCGAATTCGACCAAACTTGTATTGGTCCGTCCCGTATCAGCGTTCCTTGCCACGCGGCGTGTCCTGGTTGGGCGGGACTGCTGACGTGGCACAACTTTTCTAAATTGGATTTTGACCCCCCAGTTTCTGATTTTCTTTTCAAAAACACCATTAGAATCCAAATTTTCACCCATTTTTTTCAAAATTAATTTAATTAAATCTAAAAAAATAATTTTACCGTATTTTATCATTATTATTATTTTTATTTTCATTAAATTAAATTAAATTAAATTGAATTAAAATCTTATAAATTAAATATATAAAAAATTAAACTAAAATTTAAATACAAAAATAAAAATAATAATTTGGGTGTTACAGTTATATTGTTGATTCATTTAACTTGTTTAAAATTTAGAGTTTGAATCTATGTAATGTTCAAGATTTTATGAATTTATTATAAATTAGTGATGATTAATTTATAATATTTAATTTAATAAAATTAAAAAATTTAATTCGTAATAAAATTGTTATGAATAAATTAAACTAAATTTTATTGAATTTATTATATTATTAAATAAAAAAAATATTTTATAATAATTACATCCTGGAAGTTATATAATTTAGTCAAAAAAATTTAATTTAATAAATTATACTTTTTTAGCGTACATCTCTAATTTGTAATTATTACTCAACTATTAGTTTAATAGATTTATAGATATATTTTTTAATATTGTAGAGTATGTTCATATAACACAAAATGTCGAATACAAGAAGCATCTTTTGTTCTATTGTGAAATTTGTGCTGTGAATTTTAAAAATATTAATTTATAAAAAATATTTTTAATTAAAATTTATTTAATATTTAATAAAAATAATTATTGAAAATACTATCAAAAACAGAAGTTGTGTATTTTGCGAAATTGGTTTTTTAAATTTTAAATATAAGTTTTAATAAAAATAAAAAAATTTGGCTTTAGATATTACCAAAATACTTTATATTTTATGCATTTAATTACAAAATTACTTTTAAAAAACAAAAATTGAAAACAAAAGTTGAACAAAGTTTTATCTAATCTCTAAAAAAAAAAAATGAAGCATAATTTAATTTGCATTAAATTATTAAACGATCAAATTAAACAAAGTTTTACACTGACCTCTGACGTGGCACAAAATGGACGGGTCTTTGAGGCGCCACGTGGCTTTCTCAATTTCACTCTTTTACCTGCTTCCTATTCTTCGGATATTTGTTTTTTCCACTTCCCTGCGTCCTAAAACGGTGTCGTTTATGCCGCAGATGATGACCATACAAGACCAGACGACGTTCAAAACTTGGAATAGTTCGACTCCAATATTCAGTCCGGCGTAATGGCAGTCTCAGCTTTCAGAGGCACTCGCTTGTCTCTGTTCCATCACCCTCAGGTCTCTTTCCCTCTCCTTGATATTCAATTCCTTGTATAATGTTAGTTCAGACACGGAAAAGGTGTAATTCATATATTGATTTTTGTTTTCTCATTTTGGATAGTTGCCTGCTGCTGCGAACATATCATGCCGATCGAGGAAGCTAAATAGCATCAGAAGCTCGAAGGGTTTCACCCTTTTTGCTCGATACTCACAAGCACAAGATCTTTTCTCTTCTCGCTTTCAAAGTAGTAGCTTTTTTCTTTCAATTCTTCATCTTTTAATTTTTATTTTCTTGGGTTACATCCTCTATCCGGTTATGATTTCAGTTCAATTTTTTTCTATTTGGAATAAGATTACTCTATAGAGTGTGCAATTCTCTCTGCCTTTGCCTATAGTTTAAGCTCATTTGGCTTTTTCGAGGACGATTAATTTTTGATCAAATCCTGATTCCATCAACTTAAAATATGCAACTTTACTGCCAGGGCGTCATCTCTAATATATTTTTAAATCTTGGTTTTAGTTTCCTTAAAATTGCCAGAGACTCGTTGTAATTATAGGTATATTGTGTTTGTAAATTTATTATGCTAAAAAGAGGACTAACTGTTCACTCGATTATGCTGTTAAAAATATAAATCTTGTACAAGTTTTGTGCCTCCATGGACGTAAGTTCAACATGATTTTTCAAGCTGTTTGGATAACTGGCTGATTTTTCAAGCTATTTGGATAACTGGCTGATTTTTCAGTCTATTGGTCTTAGATGCGGGTCTCAGATTTAGAATTATATTGTTTTTATTTTGCTGGGTTCAACAACAATCAGAAAAAAAGAGCAGCTTGATTTACTAGTATTGTTCCAAAGCTCTTTGTGAACTTGCCCTTTTGTCGATGGTTTTAGTTGATATTACGTATTAATCGAATTTTTGGGTGGAAGTTGAGAGCAGTGGCTTGTGTGTTGATTTCAGCTAGTATTGAGGACTTGCCCAAACTGGTGGAGGATATTCTCCAGACATCAATAAACACTGGTCCACGTGGAGCCTTAAGGCTAGCTCAAGGTATTCAAGCATTTGTTGGGGTTGGAGGGGAATGGCTGGCAGATGTATCGAGGGTCAGTTGAAATTCTGTGTTTGTTCCCACAAGTTTCTTTGCGTGTTTCTAGTTTTTCATTCCTTCTCTTCTGTATTTGTCCTTGTTTGCAACAGTTTTCAGGCTTCTCAACTGTATATGAGTGCATGATATGAAATAGGAGGTGATGCAATCTTTTTATCAGCTGAAGGCATCTTATGAATTATTCAGCATATGGACATCTAATGAATAATTTAGGGCCTTAGTGGGTTGACCTAATTGTAGTTTCCTCCAAGCTAATGGTCTAAACTTTTACAATAATAGATGTTTAATGATTCTTGGTTATATTGCTCTCAGCTTGGACTTTGAAATAACATGTTGGAGAGAAAATTGGATGTACTTCATCCTCCTTAGGTGGTTGGATTTTCCTCTTTGCACTTTTCTAATATTTTGTTCTATTTTATATTTTTTTTTAAAAAAAAAAAACACTTCTAGTCTGTTGACTCTTGAAAAATAAGATACTTAGTGATTTCCATTCCATAGGTGCTTAACTTTTTTTGTTCTCTTTCGGCTTTAACTTCTTCTGTGATTGATGCAAACAACGGATGCATTGGATTCTTTGCAGTCAACAAACTCATATGCTGGATTAGCACCTCAAATGCAGCTTGGGTTACTCTCCCCACGTTATTTGAGGAGATTGTTTGAACGCATGGGAGCAACCTACATCAAGTTAGGACAGGTAAAGCGTGATTATGTCCTCATATATTTAGTTGCCGTGTTTGTAAACTTTTAGTAGGAAAGGAATAGTTTGTTTTTCGATGCCTGATTATTAAATTCTGAGCAGCTTGCATATGTTCCCCACATGGTAAATTAAGGTACTCTTTAATAATGTAGTTGTAGTAAGTGCAGATACATGTTTTTTTTTTCATTTAAAAGAGAACCTTTTAGCTTTGGGCTTTGTTTTGAATTATTGTTAATCTTCATCGTGGAGAAATTAATTGTTTTTAACTATTTGTGTAATCTTCTAGTTTGTAGCATCTGCACCTACGTTGTTTCCGCCAGAATATGTTCAAGAATTTCAGAACTGCTTTGACAGGGCTCCTGCAGTTCCATTTGAAGAAATTCAAATGATCTTGCGTGAGGAATTAGCAAGACCTATAGACAGTGTGTATGAATATGTTGACCCTACACCAATTGCCTCAGCCTCCATAGCACAGGTATTATATCTGTTATATCAATATTATTGACACAGAGCCAATCCTTGCCCTTTTCCTTTCTGTTTGTGTTAACTAGTAATATTTCTACAATCTACTTATATTATTCCCAGGTCCATGGTGCCAAGCTCAAAGGGTCCCAGGAGGATGTGGTTATAAAGGTTTTGAAACCTGGAATAGAGGATATTTTAGTGGCAGATTTGAACTTTGTTTATATTGTTGCTCGCATATTGGAGTTTTTGAATCCCGAACTCAACCGTGCTTCATTGGTAAAGTTTAGACTGCTTTTAAAAAAAAGCTAATAACATCCATTTAGATTAAGTCTTAACTTATTTTCAAGATTTATCTGATGCCCATGTAGCTATTTTATTTTGGCATGTAATAACCTTTTCATTTTTTTCAGTCAGTACATTATGATAATTATAATCAGTTTTAAGTATCCAACTTTGATACTAGGATGGTGCCTTAACCTCCTGTTATGGTAAAGGAGGTAAACTTAACTCTATTTTTATTGTCATAGCATTCTTTTACAATTACTCATTTTGCTTGTGAAATAATGATGTCTAGAGGTTTCTATTATAATCCACACTCCTTTCTATTTCAAAATAAATAATCTACACTCCTTTCAGTAGGTTGGTATTGTGAAGGATATTCGGGCATCAATGCTTGAAGAAGTTGACTTTTATAAGGAGGCTGCAAATATTGAGTCATTCAGAAGATATATTGAGAATATGGGACTAACAACAATGGCTACGGCTCCAAGAGTGTATCATCATTGCAGCACCAAAAGGGTTCTCACCATGGAGAGGCTATATGGTGTTCCCCTCACCGACTTAGATTCAATAAGTTCACTTGTTTCTAGTCCGGAGAACAGCCTGATTAATGCCCTTAATGTGTGGTAAGATATCCATGATTGAATTTCTTTTAAGGTTTCCTTTTGTTTATATCAAACTTAAATAACTCAATATCTTGCTATGGAACTTATCTGCAGGTTTGGTAGTTTGCTTGCCTGTGAAACTTTCCATGCTGATGTCCATGCAGGAAATCTGTGGATATTACGTGATGGGCGGATTGGTTTTCTTGATTTTGGTAGGCATTATCTTCTGCCTCCAAGTTGAATTGGAGAGATATGCTCTGACTTTTGCGATGATATAAGTTCTTGATAATGGTTTTACAATTTTGATTATACTAACCCACATGATCTGATGTAGCTACAATTTGCATTTGTCAAGCTGTTGAAAAGCTGTCCAGTTATAATTGTTAACATTGTCCAGGAACTGTTATAAGGAACTGAATTTGATGAATTCTTGTGTGTTGCTATATTGTAGTTACCTTTATCTGACCATTCAAACAATAAAAATTCACTTTCCAGGAATTGTTGGACGCATATCCCCAAAAACATGGGCTGCTATGGATGTGTTTCTGCAATCTATTGCAACAGAAGATTATGAGTCAATGGCATCTGCACTGATTGATATGGGAGCTACAGACAAAGATGTTAATGCTAAGGCTTTTGCAAGAGACTTGGAAAAGATATTCTCATCTATACAAGTAAGCAGTAGAGTGCCTGTTTAACTTCCCAAATTTGCTTGTGGTGGCTTAGTAAACTATAAAGAGAGAATGAAATAGATTAGCCTTGACTAGCAGATGTTCACTCCCAAAATTTGTTTACTGGCTCTTGAGTTGTGGTGACTAAGGAATCTCTTTTGATGACTTTCTTAAACTTCTGTGTTAGTGGCATTTGTTTTTGTGATAGTGAAACTGTATCTTAATTTTTTTTTTCATTAATATAGGATCTGGACACCGAGGTAGTTGTTGCTGCAGCCAAAGGACCAACTACAACTGCAACTGCTGTTTCTGCTAATATAATTGTTGACGAGAGACAGATGAATGCTCTTTTCCTTGATGTGGTAAGTTTTTTTTTTTCTGTTTTTATTTTGGAATAATGCCGATTTTGGAGGTAACAATCTGCTCGGTATATTAGATAGCAAAAGAATATCGTTAGGGTCCCCACTGACAGATCTCGCTATGGGACGATGAACAACGAAATCAATAAGAACAGAAGTGTTCTTTTTTGGTTTTTCTGCCTTTACCTATTTTTAGATTAAAATTAAGGACTCATTTAGGAGAGAGAGAACCTTATGATCTTTAGAATAAATGAGGTATTCTACTTGAAATAATTCTTCATATTTAATCTGTCCTTGAAAAAGACAGAATGTTTTAACATTACAGCAGTTAGTTTTGTAAATTATTTTCTGGGATTGCCTATCCTGCCCCCTCCTGCCTTTAAAAGGCTTTTCTTCAATATTACAATGCCTCTTACAACTACCCTCACATAATACATAATTTTAACATTTACACACTCGCATATAACATATTGCATACATAATTCAACCTACATAATTAATACACATAATATATTTTATTTTTTATTTCTTCTTTGATACACCCTTGCAAAAGGAATTATTTTGTTCCTAACATCTGTCTTCTCGGTGAAACTAAGCAATCATAATGGGTATGTCATATGTTTTGATCCATGTCCAGCAGTCAACCTTACAATCATACATCTGAGATAATTGCACATAATCTTATCGTCCCAGTTTATGTAAAATGGAGTGGAATTAGAATAATATATAACAATAATAATAAGATTAAGTAAAAGGACTAATTATTTAGAATAATTAAAATGTCATCAAATCAATCTAATATATAAGTTGTGTTGCCACAAAATGTTCAAGAATTTCATAGCCAGTTGGGGTTCTTATGTTGCATGGTATAGTGTGAATGCAACACTCCTCTAGAACCATCACTAGCTTCCCGTAGAATTATACTGCATTTTATTCTCTCTTGAGAAATAGAAATGACAAAATTAGTATAAATTGACTAAATAGTTCAAAATGGAATACTTTAACAAAAAAAGAAAAGGTTCAACGATGTTTGAAAATAAGCTCTTTATTTTATCTACATATTGCTAATTTATGATCTTTTTGACAGGTTCGAGTTAGTGAGTCGTATGGACTGAGATTTCCTAGGGAATTCGCACTTCTGATGAAACAACTTCTGTACTTTGACCGGTACACTAGGTTGTTAGCTCCTAATTTGAACATGCTTCAGGACCAGAGGATCAGAATTGTATCCAATCGAAGAAACAGCTATATGGACAGCTAAGTAAATAGTGCAAATATGTAAATGTGCTGAGGAGTATCGCCCATTCCTCTCTTCTATTTGTTAGTTAGTTATCTTCCTGTGTTATGTACTTCAATTGTAACAAAACTATATGAAAGGAGGAATTTTAGTCATACATCTCAATAGAAAACACAAAGAAGTAGGAAAGGTACATACTGTGTAATACAGGAATAGATATTGGATATGAAGGATTTGTTCACTTTTGTGCTACGAGGGACCAGAGATGTCCCCCAGGAAAATCTGATTGAAATTTTGATAAATTAATATCAAGCACGTCTATGTTCTAATAACCATTTCTTGGAGATTTGGATTAGTTATTGGTTTCCATGACATGTATTTGATAATAAACTTATATGGATTAAAAGCAGGAGGTACTGTTCTTGTTACTACAGTTGGATGCATTTCCTTCAACAATGTGGATTTCCGTTGTGCTACTTTTGTCCTGCTTAACTTATGCTTTTGACACAAGATAGTAAAAGAGGGTAATTCTGGTTGTTAATCCTGTCCAGATTCTCACTGAAAGCACGAACTTATGAGACGAAATGACCCAACTGCAATGCCTTGTCTAACACAGTACACTGGATGGAAGACATAATTTGTTACGAGCAATATGAATTAACCAAAGAAGGAAAAAAGAAAGCTTCTCGGTGAATATCTATACATGCCAAAAGTAAATGCTTGTTTCCTGTTCTAGTATGCCATCCGGTGCAATGTCATAGCCGTCAGAACCCTCCCCCATATTTATTTAACAATGAAATGGTTTTGACAGACACTAAACACCACCTATATATTTCTGAGAGTTGGCATTTAATTCAAGCTCTGCTTGCTGTTGAAACTCATAAGTATCCCTCTCGCCCTTTGCAAATGAATCACGACTTTCTTTATATGCATGACTGCATGCCACATTCCATCTGTTTTGAGAAACACAGCTCAATTCTTCAAGCTCAGATCTTCTGAATGGTCCAAGCTTGTCCCTGAAGCAAGTGAATTGGACCCTCTAAGCACTTGGCTTGGTGAAGAATAACCCATGAGTTGGTGGAGCAGTGACCCTCTTGCTGGGTGCAGCTCTCTAAATCCAGAGGATACATTTTCTGATTTGGGCATACTCGAGGAATACACAACTGATTCAAGGTCAAGCATTTTGCTTGAATTCTTTTGTTTTCCCGAACACTGCTTAAGCAATACTTTTCTTCTCTCCTCTGAGGAATCATAGGACATTTTCCTAAAAGCTGTGTTGTTCTGGGAGTTGTGATATGGTCCAAAATTGTCAGAACAGGACACAGAATCGGCACCTAAATCATCATATCCATTGAATGTTGATGCGAAAGACCTACTTTTAATATCAACATTGTCCTTGCCATGCCTTGGAGGAGGGTCTACATGGCCTGGTGTGGGTTGAACTATATGAGTTCCATTTTCAAGCGAGAACTTAAGTACCTTAGAGCAAGCGCCACATCTTAGCCGATGGCAACTTTTTTTGAAGATGAGGAAGTCTTCAGGAAGCTGTAGTGCTTTGAAGCAATGATAACAAGTAACAAAAGGTGCTCCTCCAGCTGTAGGACGAATGTGGCGTTTAACTACAAGATGTCTCTCCCTTAAATGCATCTTCATCTCACCTCTATGTCTCTGGTCATCAGACTGTATCTCACTATGCTGCATAAAAAACTCAGAATCCTTGTACCTTTGTGGACTTGATGGGTCAGAGGCGTAATGAATATGAGCAGGGTGGAACCTAGAAAATCGTCTATTGTATTGAAGAGCAGGAACGGGCAACTGCCTTGAACATTGCCAATCTCGGGAATGGCAACAGAAGCATGAGTTATCAGTTTGGTTTCCACTGGGTGTTGCCCCTCCTGAAAAGAATTTGGTCTGCTGGAAATACCTGCTTTCTGGCCCAAAAGTTCCAGAACGCCTAGCATAGTTGAAGTCATGATAACTTTGGTCCAATGCCTCACCATCATAGCATATAGGAACACTTTTTTGTTTCCAATTAACTTCAGCAGAAGCCTTAACACTCAGAAGATTTGTTCTATGAAGTTGCTCCTGCAGCTCATAAATCATTCTTAGAAGTTTCATCTGCTCCTGCTCTGCTGTTTCAAGTGAATGGGCGCTTGAATTGCCCATTTGAGTGGAAGGACTACAGCTTTCATATCCAGTCGGATATAAAGGCCGTTGAGAATGATATTCCTCTCTGGCTAGTCTTGTCCAGTTTCTAACTGGATGGCCAAGTCTGCTGGGTTCCAGAAATTCATCTTCATCCCATTTGTTGCCTCCGATGGCATAATGCTTGTCAACAGCAGCCTTCTTTTGCATTCCAGACTTGCTACTCATCACGCTATTCGCCAGAAATTTGTCCTCATCTAGCATATTATTATGGACCTGAGGAAGAATTAGTCCTGTATATTTACTATTATGTTCAACGAACTTAATATCTTGGCCAGAGAATTGATCATCCCTTCTGTCATAAGAAGAAACACTGCCATCATAATAAGCACAAGAGCTTTTGATGGTTGCTGACTTGGAGAAATAATCAAGCGTGCCACTGAATTCAGAGCTTGGGCTGTAAAAATCGCTAGTTGCAAATGTATCCGTAGACATTACACGATCAAAAGTATGGCGATCACTTTCCAGAGGTTCCTCTGATTTTCGTTTAAAACAAGATTCAACAATATCTCTTGAAATGCTTTCTGATGCCGGCATATGATCAGGAACAGACAAATCACCTCCTCTTGTAGCCAGTGGATCCACATAGTTGGTCTGACTCTCACCCTTTACATCTATTTCTGATTCTGCTCTTGCTAATTCCACCGGCGCATCATTTGCCTCCACCTTTGAATTTTCTGATGCTACTGGTGAAATCTCTTCATTTTCATGAACATCGTCAACTGATGAACATGCTTCACTGGAGACCCCATACTGTTCAATATTGCAGTTCTCGGATTTATACTGTTGACTTCCATTGTCTTCATCTTCATTTACCACATTCACAGCATCAAGCTGTTTGCTATTCTGATCTACAAATTCAATGTTACCCCTCTCATTATTTTGCTCCAATGAACATTCTTCAGAGGAAGGAAGAAGTGAATCATTACATATTGGACTAGGTTCTTTACATTCTGATTTGTCATCTGTCTTAGCTGCATCTTTTTTACATAAGCTAGACAAGCTTTTGGTATCAAACTTTCGGTTCTTTGCTGCATCAAGATGGATTGAAATAAGTCAAATGATGAACACGAGATTAAAAAAGAGTGAGAGAGAGACAGAAAGCAATGCGAGCAGAAGGAAATTTGAGCAAAGCATCAATAATTTATCAAGTTTAGCTATAAACTGCACTAAGATATTCCAAGCGTATCCCATTCATGGGAGTAACAGAAACTTTTGAGAGAAATTGAGATATTTGGAAAACTAAAATGACTTGAACTTCACTCATCAAAAGTTAGAAATTCAATCCTCCCAATGACACCTTATACTAATAGACTATTCCTTATTCCCAATGTCTGGGAAAAGTTAAACGATAATTACCTATCAAAATCGTTTCACATCCACCACACTTATATACGGGAACATCTGGGAGTTCAGGAAGAACGTTTCGACATTTAGGACATCTAACTAGTCGAACTTCAGGAGTCAATCCGCCAGCCATGTTCCCCCAGATACAAGGATATGTCAAAACTATGATAAGGCTTCTACAATCAATCTAAGCCCCAATCAATCATCAAATGAAAAGTTCAACTAGCAGCCCCTGCAGCCAAGCAGAACAATGATATGAAGCATGTCCTACATATAAATAGTATAATCAGCAATATCAAAAGAAAAATTTGTGGCAACACTATTAGTGGATGACATGTGATTCAACAGATTCATAACAGCATGTATAGGTTCAACATGAAGGCAAGCTAAGGATAAATTTTACCTATGAATGTAGAAAAGAAAAAATAGAAGAAGTAAAAGGAGTACCGGAGATAAGCAGGGTTTAATTGATCAAGAACAAAATTGGGTTGAAGAAATTGACTTTCCATAACTAGATTAAATCCAGAAGTAGACCAAAAAGGAAGAAAACAAATCAATTAAACTGGAAAATTGGTAGGGAAGTCAAGAAGCAACATTAACATATCCCTCATTTGGCAAACACCAGAATAAATGATTGACCTTGGACTTTGAATTTTCTCAAGTAAGAAACTAGGGTTAAAGTAAAGCTCAAAAGACAAACTAAATTTAGCAAAGCAATAAGGTTTCCATATCTGCTAAGACCAAGAATATGTTAGAACAAATACAGAAACATTATTGTGGAATTCATTATACATAATTACGTTGTATTCTACTTACTGAAATAATTGAAGTCATATGAAATATCACATGTAGTTGTATAAATCTTTCCAAATTCCAGCAGTATTAAAGGAAGTAATACTCAGTTATTTCAATTCTAAGGAAAATCAGATGAGCATTATTTTAATGAGCATTAAAAGTCAAGCCAGAGAAAGAAGATAACTACATAATGAACTGAACGTAAGATCTTGGACAAAACCATCAATCCCAAAAGAATAATAATAATAATAACGAAAATGTTTCTGCAACAGGCCAGCAGTCAAACGTTCGCACACATAAAATGCATCAAGCAAGATGGTTGAGAAATGGAATTAAATACATGGATGTTGCAGTTTAGAAATGAACCATAATAAGATCTTAATAAAATCACAAAGAAAGGAAACAACCATCAAAGAATTGAAGAACGGATCCGAAGAAACGATGAATTAAAAGAAATACCCAGTAGATCCAGAGAGCAGCTAATGGGGAGAAAAGAAAGAAGAAGAGCAGAAGAAGAGCAAAAGAGAAGAAGGGTATATGAAGGGAGAGAAGGGGAAAGAGATTAACTTGTCGTGGGAGCAAAGTTGACGAGGAGATTGCTGTTGGTGGGTGCTTTGTGTTTTTCAGAGACATGCATACATGGTTTTGATTCCTTAAAAATTTATGTCCGACTATTTTGGATTCTTGTTTGGTCTTGGTGTTGGAGCGTGTTAAGGCTGCTTTTGTGTGGTGGTCAAAGAAGGAAAAAGAAAGAGAAGAGAGAGATGATAAAAGCTCCAAGTTGGTTTCTTTTTTTTTTTTCTTCTCTCTGCAATTAACTCGAAATTCAGAGAAGAAAAGATGAAGGAAGAGAAAAAATGAAGAGAGAAAGAGAGAGACAGGGACCGTTGACGTCGGCGCCGATGCCATTTAAGTGAAACAGAGGTTGGGGTCGCTGGAAGCTGACGTCTACTTATTTACTATTATTATTATTATTATTATTATTACATTTATTTTTTGCATTATTTTTAATTACTTTTTATAAACCCATTAATAAACAATTAAGAACGTTAAATATTATTAATTAAGAAATTTTGGTTCCACGGCTAAGGCTATTGTCATATTTTAAAATAAATCTCAATTTTAATTTTTTGTTTAACATAAATTATAATAATACTTTAATTAATTTTAATAATTTTTTTCTCATTAAAATATTTTTATGAATCTCCGTACTGAAAGTCAACTTCCATTCAGGTTTTAAAAAAACCTTTCACATTTGTTTTTGTTCTTACTTCTGTCTTTAGCTTAAAAAATTGATGAAATTTACTGAAAAGCGCAGGGTAGGTAAGTTTCGTATCCTCCAAAAATGGAGTACCGATGGTTTCATATATTAAGTGTATGCTTGGGGCCTGGCTTGCTTGAAAACAAAGTCAACTCCAGTCTGTAACAATGGAGAAGAAAAGTCTTTGTCTTGTGGTGAGTTGACTTGGACTTTTGGTCTGCCATGACCTTTCAGAGCTTGCCACATGGCACCATATCACCCACAGATCATCAACCTGTCTGATTACACACACACACACACACACACACATATGTATATATATATATACGATCATCAATTATTTGAAGTTATTATTAAATCTTAAGCACCAAACTTTGTTGAAATTATTATTCTTCTTCCTACCTTCCCATTCTTATTTCTTTCTCTCCAAGCATTCCATCCATTCATTAATCTGACAAAATAATTCAAACATTATCTTGAAGACTCATTCTTCCACAATTAAAATTTAATTTAATAGCATATAATTTCCCATTCCAACTCACTTTCAACCAGTCAATTTTCGTTTTTCTCAAAAAGAAGAAAAAGAAAACAAACGATTCAGTCCACTTCTTTGTTTCCTGCTCATGAGGAAACAATTCCCTGCCAACAAGAAACTATCCTCCATTCATTCCTCCATTATTCATTATCCATCTAACATCAAAAGCAACGCATGGCACAAGTTTATCCATACTCCATGTCATTCAATGCTCATTCTTGATCAAGAAAGTGAATCCTACTTACTCATTCCACAAGTCAAATTGTTACTAACAGACAACACAATATATCTATATATTAATACCAAAAACTTCACACCATTGTTGAAGAATATGAAGCAGGTAATACAGACAACAGTCCATGAAAAGATAAAAGGCCTCAAACTTACTAAGGAAAAAAATTGCTTTCAAACAAACAAACTTATGAAGCCATCATGGCATGCTGCTTGTGCCCCTGAAATGCTTGACAAAGTTCTCTATACCCACTTCGGTAATGATCCAGAGAGATACAAAGTTGTCGAATTGCCTCCCTTTTCTCCTCTGCCCCATCTAGGATCACAATTTTTTGTCTCTCAGCTTCTTTCTCCAGCTCCTCTGCTTTCACTCTCAATTCATCTATTACCTTCCTTGCCCTTTCACATTCAAAAACAAGCTGCTCCTTTTCCCGATTCATCTCTCCAATTTGAATATCTTGGGATCTCATTTCTGCTCTTAGACTATCTAGCTTAGCAGTGATCCCATCTTTTTCTGCCACAAGCATGTCGTAGTTGAACTTATGACTGTCCAGGTTCTTATTCAAAGCTTCCACATGTTCACCTCTTGTGGCAAGATCTACCTTCAGTCTGCTGATCTCACCTTGCCTCTCAACCTCTTTCATGTCATGAAAAGCTTTCATCTCCATTTTCTCAGCATTACATTGCCTAAGCTTATCCTCCAGTGCTTTTCCATGCAATTCCCATTCCTTGAGCCTTGTCTCCAAGAGCATCTCTTTTTCTGACAATCGAATGACATCAGACTGCAACCTTGCTTTCTCAAAAGTGAGACTATCCTGGGCATCACATAATGCAATCTTTAATTCCTTCACCTCATTGTCACGGCTACATAGATCAGCTCTTAATCTTACAATCATTTCCTCAAGGTCCATAATCAGCCCTCTCTCAGAAGCAAGTTTACCCTCCAATATGGCTATATTCTCCTCGGACAATTTAAGCTGTCCTTGTGCATCTTGATTGCATTTGATGATTTCCTTTAACCTCAAAATCTCTTCATCTGATCCTTTCAGCTTATCTCTGCTAACTTCAAGCTCCTTGTTTAACATCTCAATCTCCGAATTCAACTGCGACACATGAGCTTCTGTCTCAGCTACCAGTTTTTGAAGCTCAAATCCTCTTGCTTTCTCCACTTCAAGGACATCGTCCCTCATCTCAATCTCTTTCTTTGCAGCTTCGAGCTGAACATTCACATTACTTGCAAGTGCAATAAAAGATTCATTTTTCTCAAGCTCACTTTTTAACCTTGAAACCTCTTGTTCAGAAAGTTGGAGTTTAAGATTTGAAATTCTCGACTCTTCTTCATACTTGATAATCCTTGCAATCAATTCTTCATAATTCTCATGTTCCTCTACTTTCAAACTACTATCTCCATTGTTTTCATCTGCCAGCTGCAGCCTTCCTTCCTTGCATGAGAGTTCAGTGCCTGACTCAACAATTTTCCAGTTCAATTCCTTGCTATGAGTATTAGCACCAGAGCTAACGTAGTTGTTTATAGATGAGTTGAAAGATTCTGAATCAGAATCCGATGATGATGACGACGATGATGATTCATTTCCTTCCCTTAGAGAAAGATCAGATGTAGCGCCACCAGAACTGAAAGATACAGATAGCTGCCCAGACTTGTGCAAACCCAGCTTTTCATCAGGAGTTGTCAGTGGAGAGCCATGGTCAGAGCCTGATTCAAAATGCCCAGAATGCACTTGGAACTCTGATTGTACATTCTTAGGCAATGCTCCAATCAAATCATCATAGCGCTCAGCTAGTGATTGGTAAATATTGTAGAATTCTTCAATCCCAGCAATCAACTTTGGCTTATCCTGACAACGAATCTGATCATTCTTTGTCCATGATTCATCATTTTCTTCAATCAGTTTCAGCATTCGTTTAACGCTCTGCTCCATCTCTGCAATCAGGAAGTTCTATCAGAATGTCAGAAGTACTCAACCAAAGAGACATTCTTCCTAATGGCAGATAAAAAAGAAACAAAACACAAAACAACGTATTAAACAAATTTAACCTATATAAAGGGAGAAAAGAGCACTTAGTTGCTGACCATTTGTGGTTTCCGCCAGCCATTTAGAATTCTCAGACTCTGCGTGAACTTGCCAACCACAGGAATCAGACTTCCTGGAGTCTCTTCTTTTCTCACTGAAATCCATCTATCTGTAAGCAATAAAAAGGTGCACGTTACAAGAGCTATAAAACAAATTTTAGTCCCCTCAAAAAAATAACTTAAAACTTATAATACTCCCTGTATGGTTATTTCTCCAGTATAAAACCCTGTCCATAACAAATCTAACGACAAAGAATATTTTTAAAACATCCAAGTTTTATCACAGGTAGGCAGGAATCACCATTTCGTTTGACCCTCAGGAAAAGAAATGAATTGTTCTCCACACTACTATGTCAGCTATGTTAAGATACAATAGATATCCAAAGCAACAACCAGCCCATTTAAGCTTAGCAATCAGCTACCCTTGACAAAGTTTCTACACACCAGCAGCATCGCCATTTCTTAAAACGCAACCATCCTATTTTCAGTAAATTGAGATCGAACTAAAAACAAAATCTTCGTAATGGGCGTTACCTATAATGAGATGCCCAGATCAGTAAACAAGTACCCAGAAGACTGCAAATTGATTTCCTCAAAGCATATCAGAGAGATTTGTTTTAGAACAGGGGTTACCTATAATTTCTGCATACAAATGGCTAACCCAGAAACAAAATATAGAAAAGCAGCGTATACAAACACGAATAACATATAAATTCTATACAAGGCAAAAAGGCCAAAAGAGTGAAATGGTTATACAAAAATTCTTGATGGCAGGTGCAATGAGCTGGAATACTAATCCGATTTGTTAATTTCAAAGCCAAATATTGAACCAGTAACAAAGAGATCTAAGGGGCTGAAACTAGATCTACATATATAATCGAATCATTGACAAAGAGAAGAAAGGAAAAAGAAAACATGGTATGCAAGAAAACTCGAGGAAACCCAAAAAGAAGTAAAGAAAAGGAAAAATAGAGTGAAGTGAAAGAGAAGCCAACCTGTGAGAGAAGGAGAAGCGGCAAAGAGAGTGACAGATGAAGCTGAAACGGATAGGAAGGAAAAAAAGGAAGAAGAAGGGTTGGGCGGTTGAATCGAAGGGGTGGTGAAGAAATTATTGTAAATGGACAAATGAGAAAAAGTTAAAGAGAAAGAGAGGGAACATATCAGCACGCAGACCCACCCTTGGGATTGCCCGCCTGACTTCAATTTTCAAAATTCCAACTTTTCCCTCCTCCTCCAGCACAGTGACATGGATAAGGTCTAAGTGGGTTCCAAGAAGACTTTTTATGAGACTTTTTATGAAGTTTGAAGTTGAAATGGCGAGGGAGAGAAATCACTGAAAGTTGTGTTTTTTACCCAAATCATATGAATTTGGTATCATGTGTAGGAAATGAGAGAATGGTTAAAACTTTAATTTTATCTTTTGTAAGTTTAAGACATGATAATATATAGAGAGTAAGAAATATTACATATTTACTTGTCATTGATTTTGCTTTACAAGCTTAACTTAATTTTTTTAAAAATATAAAAATAAATATATATTACGTTGTATTAATAAAAAAAATTAATTACAGAAATTATCTTAAAAAATATAAGTAAATGAATTCTCGAAAGCATGAGCCAATGATGATTTGGAAAGACTTAGAAAAGAGCTTCGTATAAATGTCAGAATTAATACGAATAATATAATCATTATACGTTGTTATTTGGACTTTAAATCTTTATACCCGGCATTCGATTATAGAAATATTTTTTAATAAGAATAAAGTTATTTAGATAAACATGTATAAGCCTAAAAAAAAAAAAAAATCAATCAAAATGCCAAAAACGACAAAGCCAGTTTGATTCTGCATATCTTAATTTGACCGTTTTTTATTCGGTAGAATCAAAATTTAACTAATTTGTGTATTAAAGAAACTGTGGTTATCAAAATAGATTTCATTCCAACAGTTAAGGAGAAAGAAACATTACATGGCGGATGAGTTCTTTAGTCATCCAAGCATAAGATGTTGAATGGTGTGCTGAGTTGATTCCCTAAGTAGATATATGAATATGATATATGTTGTCGAAGCCAGGAAAACCTTTCCATATTGATCGCAATGGATTTGGGGTGTGGTAATGGTGAGCCCAAAAGGCTGTCCAGCACTCACGAGACAACCCAACGTGGTCTTCCCACTTCACAGTGTATATATATGTATATATATTATATTTTATATCCACCAAGACGGACGCCGAGTCCAGTCGGATCTTCTAGCTAAAAGAATAAAGCATTATCCATCCCTTTTCCAACAAAATTTCTGACTTTTCTATATCTAACCGGCCGACTATATCCACACACACACACACTCACCCATATATATATATATATATAACCAGCTGTTATATATCTACTTTATCATCCTTCTATTTCTCACTAGTCTACTCATCAAAATATAATAACATTATTTAACTTTTTTTATAAAAAAATATTTTAAAGTTGATTCTTTTTTGGTTAAGACTTGGAATGGTGCTTGCGGTGGTTAATATCTGGACAAACTATCATTTTCAATCGGTTCCTCTTCACTTCACTGTAACAAAAAGCAAGCAACATATCATATAATTACTCAATGAGTAATTGTATACATATATATGACATATATATATGTGTGTCTGTGTGTGTGTGTGTGTGTCTCGGATCAACTTCACTTACTGCATGGCCATCTTCTTTTAACCTTTACTTCACAAGATTGAGCCTTCCACTTCTTGGCCTTATATATATATAACTGTAAATATATATTTAACTAAGATTTTCACACAAACCCAATTCATGAAGTATATATATATATATATATATAAGTTATATAACATGCCTGCTAAAAGTCCTCATTATGAAAACTACATCTTACCTAATGTCAATTTCTCTACTTCGAATAGGTCAAGTACTGCAATATGAACCCCTAAAACCCGGCTTCTATTCTTCAGGACTCCAAATAATGGTGACGATTGATGGTAATACCTAGAAATATTTGTATGCAATGGCTGGCAGTCTGGCACTGACTCATCCTCATATATATATATATATATATATATATATATACTGTTTTGTAGATGTTGACATCACCCAGTGGCTCACTTCCCAAAGCAAATTTCTCCTTTTCCCTTTCATATATGTATATATATACAAGTCATTTTTGCCCATCTAACACTCACTCACATATCCAAACTATGCTATATATATATATAACCATAATGAACTGTGCTAGTATATTATGATACGATAATAAGATATTGTATGAAGGAAAAGAATAATTTAATCGTCTAAAAAACATCTATAAATGTCAAACTATACGCCAAAATGCAAATTGTTAAACACGGTTTGTGCTGGCCTGCAATATGATGATCAAGCAAACAAATCCAATGACATAAAATAAAGAGATATTTTGTAAGTATTTTTCCGGCAATCACGATTATTAATGAAAAATCTTCAATTTCCAAAGATATCTTTCCCAACATCCTCTACTTGTGGGTACATATGTCCATATCTGATGCCATGTGAGTTGATCCACATCAGCAACCTGATAAAAATTCTGATACTGTTGGTGGATCACATGGGTAATTCTCTGCAATACTGACATGATCACAATTATGCATATAGTAGGTAGCACTTGTGGTTCTTACTATGGACTTGAGCCCATTTGGTAATAATTCCTTAAAACTTGTGAAAATCATGACTCTTTATGACTAACCCAACTATAAATTCATCTGTACATGTTGTAGTATCACTTTGTATGTCTCTTCAAACAAGGTATTATTTGGGTGGGAGGAGAAGTTGACAAGAGAAAGCTGATCAGGAAGCAATGGAGGGTGAGAGGCCTCACTTTGTGCTGGTGCATGGTCTGAGTGGAGGGTCTTGGTGTTGGTACAAGATCAGGTGTCTCATGGAGAATTCTGGCTATAAGGTCTCGTGTATTGATCTCAAAGGTGCAGGAATTGATCTTTCAACCCCTGATTCTATTCATTCTTTTGATGATTACAACAAGCCTCTCCTAGACTTCTTGACTTCCTTGCCAGATACTGAAAAGGTGTTCATTCATAATCAATTCATATAGTTTCTGAACAATACATATATGTATATGTGTGTATGTGTTGAATCATGGTATTTTTACAGGTGATATTGATAGGTCACAGTGCCGGAGGGATAAGTGTAACACAGGCAACTTACAGGTTCGCAAAGAAAATCCAGCTTGCAGTATATCTGGCAGCCACCATGCTAAAGCTAGGATACTGCACTGAACAAGATGCCAAAGATGTAAAAGTTTCTTCCACCAATTTCTGTCTACTACTGATTTTGATTCATTGAATTGACATTAATGTCATACTTATTTCTAAGGCAAGTAAGAAATATTTGGCACCAGAGTGTTAACAATAAGTTTTGTTTAGAGACTCAGCAAGCTTGAATTAATATTCTCTCAATGGCGTGCACCATATATATATTATATATAATAACAATATATTCAATTTTCTTGGTTCTCATAAATTAAAAGATGATAATGGTATATATTCTCTCATCAGTAACTTTTCGTTGCCATGGCACGTGGAATGCATGTGATTCTGTGCCACTTTGCAAATTCATGCTCCTTGATCATCACTGGAAAAAGAACAAATATGTGAATATAGTAATGCTTGCTTTTATGTCCAGCAGGGAGTACCCAACTTATCTGAATTCGGGGATGTGTACAAATTTGGATTTGGATTAGGTACTGATAAACCTCCAACCAGTGCTGTTATCAAGAAAGAGTTCCAGCGCAAGATAGTCTATCACATGAGCCCTCAAGAAGTAACTAATCTACATTACCAGCTTGACTGAATACTTTTTAGTCTGATATGTTATTGATCTTCTGTTTTTTGGCTACAGGATTCTACTTTAGCTGCAATGTTATTGAGGCCAGGACCAATCCTAGCTCTCACCACTGCAAGATTTACAGAGGAAGAAGATGATATAGAAAGGGTACCGCGTATATACATTAAAACAAAGAATGATAGAGTAGTGAGACCAGAGCAGCAAGAGGCTATGATAAAAAGATGGCCACCATCTAAAGTTTACGATCTGGATAGTGACCACAGCCCCTTTTTCTCCACTCCATTTTTGCTCTTTGGCCTGTTGGTTAAAGCTGCAGCTTTTGTTGGGTGTAACTAGGCCACACGAATCTCTATTTCTTTTTCTTTCTCTTATTTTCGATTGGTGCTCGAATAAATACTACAAAACTCTTTGTAGCATCTTCATTTTATTCTTCATAACATATTCCACTTGTCACAAGCCGAATTATACCGTGTACTGTTTTCTTTCTTGAATAAATACTACTAGTGCATGTTTCTCTCTCTCTGTTTTCTGACCTCGGCTGACAAAAATGTCAACAGATCTTACAAGATCTTTTTATCTCCCTATAGTCTAGTATGCAGATCCAAGATTCCTTTTATTTCATTAGAGCAGTCATGTTGGCTTCAATTTTAACTAGATTAAAGTAGCAGTGGAATATGATAGTTCTTTCTAATGGTTGCATCATTACTCCTGGGAGGATAGGGATTGAGCCAGACAGAAACATAAATATTCTGATCTATGATGCATCTTCATTTCTAATCTTGACTCAAACTTATGATTCATTTCTATTCATAAAGAAGAAGATGTATATAATGATGTGGTACCTGTTAGATTGGAATATTAAAAATATATATAATTATTGAGCTCTACATAAGTGTTCAAATCTTGTACAACTAATATATTGAATTTGAGTTTTTAAGTTCAATAATTTAGATCTAAAAAATTGGATTAGTGGTGATTGAGCTCAAAAAGTTAGAAATAACAATTAGGGTACATGCTAGTTTGATAACTTCGACAGTTGTGATACTTTAATGGCTTTTAAATTGAGCTTATTAGAGAGTGTGGTCTGGGTCTAAAAAAATTGTTAGATTAGTGGTGCTTGAACCCCTAATGTTAGACTATGGTGTATGCTTGGAAATGGACTTCTATGTACCTCAACTAAGGAGGAGAAAATGATATGTATTAGTAGGACAGCTGGTTTTTTCTGAAGTACTTTTCACATCCTTACAAGTATATATAGGTACTTATACAGAAGATGGAATTTCATTGTCCTGTGCTATTAATTACAAAGAATGACTTCTGATTGTTTCTAAAAGCAAATTAGAGTGGTTCTGTTACAAGTTGCAACGAATTCTAGGATTTCTAATCCCGCTAAGTAAGATCCTAAACACATTAAATAAAAAAGTACAACATCCCACAATGACCTAAATCTGTCCTAAACCCTCACTATGTGATTTGTTTACATTCTTCTATGCTCATTTGATTCAAAGCACCAATAAGATTTCTGCCTATCTTCGTACTTCATTAGAAACGGTTTCTCTCCTGTTAGAACTGACGGGGAATGGCTTTGATATATATTTTTTTCAATAGCAGAGCAAATACATAGCAACCACAAGCAATACTGTCTCTGCAACTCTTGAACAAGATAACAGATATGATTGAATTGTAATGGTGGAAATCAAGTTTGCGTCCTGTTTGCATTGTCAGCAACTGCAGCTGTCTTCTTCTGGAGCTCTTTATTGTTAGCTCCCACAAGTTTGTCCACCTGTCTCCCATCCTTAAGGAAAAAAAATGTAGGAGTGGCATTTATGTCCCACGAAGTGCAGAACTCCTGTAACCAACCATATATCACAGACAATTTAGTTGTTCTTATTTTCAGCTAGATATGAGAACGACGTAATAAATGGTGCTTGCACTTACAGCTAGTTCATCCACATCCACGGTTACAAATATAATAGAAGGATATCTATCAGCTAGCTTGCTGTAGGTTCGTGCTATTGCTCTACAAGGACCACACCATGCCGCACTGAAGTTTGCCACAAGCTATTGTGCAAGAACAAATTGAAAAAGATTCCCAAGTCAGTTGGATATAGCTAGCAGCCCCATACAAGACAATATTTAGTTTTCCCAAAAGGTAAACTTACAATCTTTCCATCCTTGTTTGCTTCAGATAACTTTGCCTCCCAGCTCCCTGCTGTTGTTATTAGGTGCACGTTTCCACCAGCAAGCTCTACAGGATCACCCTGTTTATTAGCTTTCTTATGGCAACAGCAACTTCTATCGGGCAAAGTCTACATTACGTAAAATTAGCAAATCAGCAGGTGCTTAATAGAGGTGAAACTTTCAGAACCGGGTAAAATATCATCTAACCTAGAACAAAAACTTCTCCTAGAACAATAACAAAATGAGGCATAAGTGAGCAAGTGACTTCACTGTAATAGCATATCTAGTA